CTTAAAACTTCTGATAAGGCAAGTCTGGTGGTCATGAATTCCCCTAGCATTTGCTTGTCTGGAAAGAATTTTGTTTCTCCTTCACTTATAAAGTTTTGATTGGCTACATGCAAAATTCCTGGTTGAAATTTGTTTTCTTTAACCCATTTCTCATTCGCCCTGAGAATACTCTTGTCTCTAATCCTAATGTAACATCATAGACATTTCCGTTACATTTCTGTCCTGTCTCTGATCCTAATGTAACATCATATATATTTCTGTTGCATTGGGATTAGAGACAAGTTAGAAATAATTCCAAGGACAGTTTTTATATTATATCTTAACATTGAAAATCAGTCAGATTTGGCCAGGCGCGGTGGCTAATGCCTGTTATCCCAGCACTTTGGGAGGCCGAGGCGGGTGGATCACGAGGTCAGGAAATCGAGACCATCCTGGCTAACACGGTGAAACCCTGTCTCTACTAAAAACACAAAAAAATTGGCTGGGCCTGGTGGCAGGCACCTGTAGTCCCAGCTACTCGGGAGGCTAAGGAAAGAGAATGGCGTAAACCCGGCAGGCGGAGCTTGCAGTGAGCCAAGATCGCACCACTGCACTCCAGCCTGGGTGACATAGGGAGACTCCGTCTCAGAAAAAAAAAAAGAAAATCAGTCAGATTTACTTCAGCCTCAAGGAGTGTGCTTATGTAAAACTGAATGAGCACTGGCAGAGACTGCACTTTTCTTTTTTTAATGGGAAATGGATTAAGGATGCTGAATATAGGCTCCCTGTCTCCTCTGGGAGAGGAGTGTACATGCCTGGGATGTTTCTGGGTATTTTCATCCTTTTCTGCTATCAAGCATTACAGTGTGTTCTGCCTTTTACTGTCTTGCCTCAGGGATGTTCACATAGCCCCACTATCTGTCAGGAACTTCGGGTAACAGGATAACAGACCCCGGTTGATGGACTGCCCCTGGTGGCGGGGGTGGGGACATGGGCTTCATCGCATATCATGTTGGCTTCTGAGTCTTTCTCCAGCTGGCACACGTAGCTTGCAAACCTTGCTGTCTCACGTGGCAAACAGAGGCTGGGCAGTCAGCACAGCACCTTCCACTGGTGAATGGTGTGCAGTAAAACCATTTTGCTAACCAGGTGCAGATGGTGGCCTCTCTCCGGAGCAGGAGGAACTATTGTGTCTGCAGAGCTGCCCTCTTCCTCCTCCACCACCACAGGCTTGCTGTGATGCACTCAGGATCCAATTCCAAGCTCTTGGGAGGACTTTCTATGCAGTGTGATTGTTACTCCTTTTTGTGGTTTTGTTTTTGTTGTTGTAGTTGCTATTGCTGCTGTGGCATCTGGCCACAATGTTCCTCCATATACCTGCCCCCAGGGAAATCACGAAAGCATGGCCTGAAAATAATGTGAGGGTATTCAAGGGTATGGGAGGGTGGAGTGTATGGTGGATGCACCTGTGTGACAGCAACAGCTAAACGTGAGCCTCCCTTGAGAATGAGCCTGTATGGCAGATGTAGCTGACAGCAATGAGGGTTGCTAGGTGGGGGTTGCCAGGTGGAGGGTGTTAAGTGAAAATGCTATATGAACTGCTTGCTTTTTGCAAGCAGTTGTGGTTCTCCTTGCGTGTTTTTGCGAGTGGTAATGGTTCTTCTGTCCATCCCACCACCACTGGACCATCCGTGTATATCAGTCCCCCTCAATAAAGCCTATGTCTCATTTTTTGGCTCCAGGTCTCTTCTTTGGTCTGTTGGACATGCCGTTCCTACTGGAGTCCATAGGGGTCCAGCTTGATAAGGGCCAGCAGAAAATGCCATGTTTCAGGATGCTGATTTGTGACCTTCACTTTGTTCCATAAGTATTTGTGTTGTGATCACAGCGCTGAGTGTAAGGGACTCAGTGCTGTGCCTGCTTTCTCTAGCTGAGTGCTACCATAATGGTCTAGGAGAGGCAGCATCAGCGTGCAAGAAGCCAATTTGTAGACCCCTTCTAAACCTCTGGAATCACATTACTTAGACTAGGGCCTGGAATACCAAATTATTTATCTGTACATTGAGACTCGAGGGGTAATACTTAGCTAAGTGGCTCTCACCCCAGGCTTCAATTAGGATGACATGGCCAGTTTAAAGAAATGCTGTCACCTCTGTGCTTCCCTCCCCGATTCTGTCTGTTGGTCTGGGTGGGAGCATCCATATTGTTTTAAGTGTTCCAGATGATTCTAAGTGAAGCCAGGGCCATGCATGAGGGCTCCCAGATATATTCATGAGAGTTGAGTTCAGCCTTTGTTCCAAAGAAAGTTTACAGGGCCTGCTCTGCTTGGGTTTGGTAGAGGTGGGTCAGTGTGTTCCATGTTCCCGTGGCTGCAGCCACAATTGCTGGAGTCTTTGGAGGACAAGGGCACCGGAAAACAAAGAAACATACATTTTGATCTTTATGTAGGAGCTCATTGTTCCTGACTCTTTCCTGTGATAAAAGGACAGGGAGCGTGTACTTTTTATGAACCTCTAGGATTTTCTTCCTGTGGATGTGGTGGTAGAAGGGGAAAGGGTTGTGCCGACCCTTTTAAAGGCTTAACAGGATGCAGGTGTGATTGGCCCAGAGCCTCTCACCTGAGAAGGAATCCCAGAAATGGAGGAGGAAGACGAAGAAACGAATGGTTCTCAGGAGAATGTGTCCGGAGTCAGGGACTGCGTCCACTTTTTTTTTTGTGGAATGTCATGTGTTTAGAACCCACAAATATGTCTCTACTTCTGATGTTCCTGCCTAACTTACTCCCCCGAACCTTTTGTTGTGATAGTCAGTGAGCTCTGTACACTCTTTCTCCCCTATATCCCAGAGCCTTCTTTTTTTCTTTTTTTTTTTTTTTTTGAGACAGTCTCGCTCTGTCGCCCAGGCTGGAGTGCAGTGGTGCTATCTCGGCTCACTGCAAGCTCCGCCTTCCGGGTTCACACCATTCTCCTGCCTCAGCCTCCTGAGTAGCTGGGACTACAGGCGCCCGCCACCATCCCTGGCTAGTTTTTTGTATTTTTTTAGTAGAGACGGGCTTCACCATGTTAGCCAGGATGGTCTCCATCTCCTGACCTCGTGATCCACCCACCTCAGCCTCCCAAAGTGCTGCTATTACAGGCGTGAGCCTCATGATCCACCCACCTCAGCCTCCCAAAGTGCTGCTATTACAGGCGTGAGCCACCACGCCCGGCCGATTGTAATTTAATTAAGGTAACTTTTCGTGTAATTGTTACGTAATTTTTTCAGTAATTTACTGGGCAATAATTTATTTATATTCAGTAATAATTTACTGGCCAAGAAAGCAGCAGTGATGTTGTACCTCTTGTGTGTATTAGCACACGATGCCAATTTTCCTATTGTAATTTATGTTAATTTTATTCACTTGAATAAAGTGCTGTCTGCCAGAATTTTCCACCATAGGGTTAATTATTTTTCCTTTTGTTATTAATAAGTATTTTGGGGAGATTTACTGATTGATGTACATAAATAATCACAATTAATCGGGAAACTTCTTTTTCTCTTTAGATTCTCTTTGCATACAGCTTTCTCTAGAAAATGAAGGCTCTCATGTTTGCTTACTGGTCGAATCAACTGGGATGAATGTAGGCTCTGCTATTTACTGGATGTTTGACAAAATATTCTTCTTGAGCCAGAAGCATAGGCGCCGCTGGCTAGCCTGTTAGAAAGTCAGAAATTCAGGCTTCCTCCCAGATCTGCTGAATCAAAATCTACACTAAAAAAAAGAATTTTTTTTTTTTTTTCCAGATGGGTTTCACTCTGTCATCCAGGCTGGAGTGCAGTGGTGTGACCTGAGCTCACTGCAACCTCTGCCTCCTAGGCTCAGGAAATTCTCTCATCTCAGCTTCCCAAGTCACAGGGACCGCTGGCATGGGCCATCATGGCTAATTTTTGTATTTTTTGTAAAGATGAGGTTTCGCCATGTTGCCCAGGCTGGTCTCAAACTCTGGAACTCAAGTGATCCACCTACCTCGGCCTCCCAAAGTGCTGGGAATAGAGGTGTGAGCCACCATGCATGCATTTTGTTTGTTTGTTTGTTTTTTGAGATGAAGTTTCACTCTTGTTGCCCAGGTTGGAGTACAATGGCGTTATCTTGGCTCACTGCAATCTCCACCTCCTAGGTTCAAGCAATTCTCCTGCCTCAGCCTCCCAAGTAGCTGGGATTACAGGCGCCCGCCACCATGCCTGGCTAATTTTTTGTATTTTTAGCAGAGATGGAGTTTCACCGTGTTGGCCAGGCTGGTCTTGAACTCCTGACTTGCAGGTGATCCACCCACCTCAGCCTCCCAAAGTACTGGGATAACAGGTGTGAGCCACTGCACCCAGCCCGTGCCTGCATTTTAACAAGATTTCTACTTCATTGACATACTTGTTAAAATTTGAGAAGTACCTTCTAACTCACCCTGACTTCTCCATGTGAGAACAATACACGACTTATCCTGTAGGATGTGAATATATCAGTGCTTGAGTTGATGCCCTTAATTTTATACTATATTATGCACAAAAGTAGAGTATCTACACTGGTTTGTGGATCTTTTTTGTTTGTTTGTTTGTTTTGAGATGGAGTCTCGCTCTGTCCCCTAGGCTGGAGTGCAGTGGCCGGATCTCGGCTCACTGCAAGCTCCGCCTCCCGGGTTCACGCCATTCTCCTGCCTCAGCCTCCCGAGTAGCTGGGACTACAGGCGTCCACCACCATGCCTGGCTAATTTTTTTTTTTGTATTTTTTAGTAGAGATGGGATTTCAACATGTTAGCCAGGATGGTCTCGATCTCCTGACCTCGTGATCCGCCCTCCTCGGCCTCTCAAAGTGCTGGGATTACAGGCGTGAGCCACCGCACCTGGCTTAGAGTATATTTGTGTGTTAAAAATTATCTTATTTGATAATTCTAGTCACTCATATAAGTCAGAGCCAGTTCTCTTCACTCTGTCTCCTTGCCTGGAGTCGAACTCTGCCATGGCCACTTGGTAAATGTTTTCTTTTTCAGGGACTATTGGCATTCAGGGATGTGGCTCTAGAATTCTCTCCAGAGGAGTGGGAATGCCTGGACCCTGCCCAGCGGAATTTGTACAGGGATGTGATGTTAGAGAACTACAGAAACCTATTCTCCCTTGGTGAGGATCACTTCAATATGCAATTCCTATTTCACCATAAGGATTTCATCTTTTTCCATTGTAGAATGTTTTCTGGGAGTTTCTGATTTGCATGAATGAGTTTCAGATCACTGCTTTCAAGAAAACCTTGGGGATTCCTTGGTGTAGAAAACAAAACTTTCAAGATGTTTTGCCTTGACATCAACCTTTCTCTTCAGCTGATGTACATCCTTGCTCTAGATTGGTGGTAATTCTAGAAATTCAGTAGTATCAAATATTGTTGCCTCCACTTCAAAATCCAGTTTCCACCACCAATTTTTGATCCAGTTATTATAGTTCTTGGTAGCAGAGCTGAGGACTCACAGATTTAAAACACTTCCTGAATATATTAAAGGCTCTGTCAGAAAACAGTATTCTGGAGTTAACTTTCTAGGATCTAATGTGATGTTTTCTCTTCTCTTCTGAGCACAGTGAAAGGTTGGTAGTTCAAGAATCCCCACAAGAATCATGCACCTTTTTTCTAATAAAACAGGTCTTGCTATGTCTAAGCCAGAACTGATCATCTATCTGGAGGCAAGGAAAGAGCCCTGGAATGTGAACACAGAGAAGACAGCCAAACACTCAGGTAGGTGGGAGTGAATGAAGCAAACATAGGTAGGGGGTCTGAGGATCAAGGAAGAAGCCAGACTTTAAAATGTGGTTTGGGAAGCTCTACTCCCATGGAAATGGCTTCTGAGAAGCCTGGATTTCTTTCTCTTGCTCTCACATAGGGGCATCTTCTATCTCATGCTCTTAAATTATCTAAGGACTGTACTTCCCTTCAGTGATTTTCCTTCAAGTTCACAGTCAGCGTCACAGTCATCTTCGTAGGTCATAGGGGACTGCATGATCTGACTGCTCTTCCATTGCTTTGGGGGACGTGGAACTGTCTGCGTATTTTTGAGGAACTCTGTTAAAAATTATGTGTATATATATGTACACACACGTAATTTTCTTGAGATGGAGTCTCGCTCTGTCACCCAAGCTGGAGTGCAGTGGCACAATCTTGGCTCACTGCAACCTCTGCCTCCCAGGTTCAAGCGATTCCCCTGCCTCAGTCTCCCGAGTAGCTGGGACTACAGGCGCCTGCCACCACACCCGGCCAATTTTTTTTGTACTTTAGTAGAGATGGGGTTTCACCATGTTAGCCAGTATGGTCTCAGTCTCCTGACCTCGTGATCCACCTGCCTTAGCCTCCCAAAGTGCTAGGATTACAGGCGTGAGCCACCGCGCCCAGCCTAAAATATTTTTTAAGATCCCTTTTTGCATTGCATCTGGAACATGTGAGAGTAATGGTGATACTGGTATTTGGTTCAGAAATCCCACAACAGATATATGTTTTCTCCTTTATGACTTACCCTGTGGAGATTTCAAATGTGATTCTACAGAAATTGATAGTAATTTTATCAGAAGACTAAGCATCTCCCTAAATATAAGAAAGTCTAGTGTTGTTTACTTAAAAATGTTATTTCTTTTGTGTGAACTGAGATTTGTCATTTAAACCCTATGTGCCCAAATTTCTCAGCTGTTCTCAGTTTAATATATCTACTCACATCCTAGATTTCTTAAATACGCTGGGTCGTTGGGGAGTGTAGAACATTACCGATTATATAGTAAACTCCCACTTGTTACCTTCCTTTAAAATAACTGTCATTTTATAATTTTCTCTTGTTTAGTATGAAACTTCGTGGGTCTGTGTCATTTATATATATGTGTGTGTAGATATGTATGTGTATAATGTGATTTTTTTTACACAAATAAAAATTGGATAACTATTGTGTACAGTGTCATGATTTGATATCTATATATAGTGAAATGATTAATACAGTTAAGTTAATGAACACACCTGTCACTTCACATAGTTATTTTTATGTTGAAAACACTTGTCTGCTGTGTTAATACAGATTTTAAGCATACAAAACATTATTATTATTAACTGTACTCATAATGCTATTCATTAGATTTCCAAAGCTTATTTATTTTATAACTGAAAGCTTACAGTGCCCTTGTAATACTACATCTTCCATTTTCCTACCCCCTTGGCAGTCACCTCTGTCTTCTGCTTCTAGTTCAACCTTTTAAGATTCCTCATATGAGTGAGAAGAACAGGAAGTATTTGTTTTTCTGTGTTTGGCTTATTTCATTTAGCATGTTGTTAGAATGGCAGGATTTCATTATGTTTATTGCTTAATAATACTCTTATTACATCTACGTAAACATTTTCTTTATCCATTCAGCATTCACAAAGATTTACATTGTTTCTATATCTTGAAAATTGTGACTAATGCTATAATGAACATGGGGATGCAGATATTTATTTGAGATACTGATTTTATTTCTGTTGATTTTATACAAACACACACACAGATGTGAGATTGCTGTCTTGTATGGTAGTTATTTTCCTTTTTTTTTTTTTTTTTCTCGAGACAGACTTTTGCTCTGTCGCCCAGGCTGGAGTGCAGTGGCACGATCTCAGCTCACTGCACCCTCTGCCTCCGGGGTTCAAGAGATTCTCCTGCCTCAGCCTCTCCAGTAACTGGGATTACAGGTGCCCACCACCACATCTGGCTAATTTTTATATTTTTAGTAGAGACAAGGTTTCACCACGTTGGCCAGGCTGATCTTGAACTCCTGACCTCAAGTGGTTCACCAGCCTCAGCCTCCCAAAAGTGCTGGGATTATAGGCGTGAGTCACCGCGCCTGGACTTTTTATTTATTTATTTATTTTTTATAGAGATGGGTTCTCACTCTATTATCCAGGCTGGTCTCAAACTCCTGGCCTCAAGCAATCCTTCCACCTCGGCCTCTCAAAGTGGTGGGATTATAGGCCTGAGCTACCACACATGAACAATTTTTACTTATGTATTATAATTTTTATGAACATATTCAGTTCTGTACACTTCAAGACATTATGGTGCAAAAGTGAATAATTCAACAATCACATCGTCTATTACCAGTACATTTATCTATAAGTTTGTTTGCCTTTATAAATGTTACAGGCAAACAAACTTAGAGATAAATGTACTTGCAGAAGACATGCCAGGACGTTTTCTTTATGATGTGTGTGTGTGTATTTGCCTGGCCCTTTAGAAACACCATTCTATATTTGTTTTTAAGGGTCTGTTTCAGATATCTCATATAAATGGATTCGTATAGTCTCTATCTTTTTGGGACTGGGTTATTTTGTTTAGCATGTCACCAAGATTTTCATTTTTAATTTGTAAGCGTACATAGTAGGTGTATATATTTATCTGGTACATGAGATACTGTGATACAGGCATGCAATGCATAATAATCACATCAGGACAAAGGGCTTTTCTTAAAGATTCATCTTTATTGTAGATTTTACCAGATTTCCTGCTTTTTAAAAGCTGAGTAATATTCCATTATTTGTGGGGGGGATTTTTTTGAGACATCTCGATTTCTTGGGCGTCTGTGGTGCTAGTGTGAGTTAATTTTGTTGTGAGGAGTCTTGCTGTGTCACCAAGGCTGGAATGCATGGCCTGACCTCAGCTCACTGCAGCCTCCACCTCCCAGATTCAACTGATTCTCCCACCTCAGCCTCCAGGGTTGCTGGGACTACAGGCGCGCCCCACCATGCCTGGCTATTTTTTTTTTTGTATTTTTAGTAGAGACAGTTTCGTCATGTTGGCCAGGCTGGTCTCAAACTCCTGACCTCAGGTGATCCACCCGCCTTGGCCTCCCAAAGTGCTGGGATTACAGGTACGGGCCACCCACTCCCAGCCTATTTGTGTATTCTGAATTATATTTAGCCATTCATTTGGTGACGTAAGTTTGGGTTGTTTTCCCTTATTAGCTTTTGTGAATAATGTTGCAATAAATATGGGTATGCAAATAACTTTTCATGTGCCCATATATGTGGAGGTTTATTTCTGTGTTCTGTATTCTGTTTCATTGACCTAATTGTCTGCCTTTATGCCAATACCAAACGGTTTTAATTACCACAGCTTCTTTTTTTTTTTTTTTGAGAGAGAGTCTCGGCTCTGTCACCCAGGTTGGAATGCAGTGGTGCGATCTCGGCTCACTGCAACCTCTGCCTCCCAGGTTCAGGTCATTGTCCTGCCTCAGCCTCCCAAGTAGTTGGGATTACAGGCATGTGCCACCATGTATTTTTAGTAGAGACGGGGTTTCACCATGTTGGCCAGGCTGGTCTTAAACTCGTGACTTTAGGCGATCCACCCATCTCCGCCTTCCAAAGTGCTGGGATTACAGGCATGAGCCACGCGCCGCGCCGACGGAAATGTATTTTAAAATCAGAAAGTATGATACCTGCAACATTGTTCTTCTTTGTGGAGATTATTGCTCTCTTCATGGTTCCTTCACTTGCTGTGTAATTTTAGAGTTGCCTTTTCTATTTCTGCAAAAATGAAATTGTGAACTTGAAAGGATTGCCCTGAATCAGTAGGTCACTTGGGTGACATGAACATCTTCATAATATTAAGTCTTCCAGCCCACAAAGAAGAACATGCTCAAGTGTGTGTTGTTGAACTTCCGTGTATTTGTGAATGTTTCAGTTTTTTATTTATTTATTTATTTTTTGAGACGGGTCTCGCTCTGTCACCCAGGCTGGAGTGCAGTGGTACGATCTCGGCTCACTGCAACCTCCGCCTCCTGGGTTCGCACCATTCTCCTGCCTCAGCCTCCCAAGTATCTGGGACTACAGGTGCCTGCCACCATGCCCAGCTAATTTTTTGTATTTTTTAGTAGAGACGGGGTTTCACCGTGTTAGCCAGGATGGTCTCGATCTCCTGACCTCGTGATCCACCCTCCTCGGCCTCCCGAAGTGCTGGGATGACAGGCGTGAGCCACCGTGCCTGACCGAATGTTTCAGTTTTCTTTCTGTTACTGATTTCTTGTTTTATTCCATTTTGGTCATAAATAATAATCTATAATATTTCCATTTTTAAAAATTAGTTAAGACTTTGTTTTGTGGCCTGACAGGTGGTCTATCAAGGAGAATGTTTTCTGAGCTGTTGAGAATATTGTGGATTCTGTTGTTTAGGGTGTTCTCTAGATGTCTGTTGGTTGTCATGGTTTTATGGTGCTTTCAAGTCCCCCTGTTCCCTGTGTACTTCTTGCTTCATTTCTGTAAATATTTGCTTTATATATTGTAAACCCTGGTGAGAAACAGATGTAGATGTAAATACACAAACAGACATACATTTGTCGTAGGTTTTCTGTGAACAAAACCTTTTATTTATTGTCTTTTTTGTCTCCTGTGAGTTGTTCACTTTTGGTTTTTTGTTTGTTTTTTGTTTTGTTTTGTTTCTTTGAGATAGAGTCTCGCTCTGTCACCCAGGCTGGATTGGCGTGGCATGATCTCAGCTCACTGCAACCTCTGCCTCCCAGGCTCAAGCGTTTCTGCTGCCTCAGCCTCCTGGGTAGCTGGGATTACAGGCGCGTGCCACCACGCCCAGCTAATTTTCTTTCTTTTTTTTTTTTTTTTTGAGAGAGTCTCGTTTGGTCGCCCAGGCTGGAGTGCAGTGGCCGGATCTCAGCTCACTACAAGCTCCACCTCCCGGGTTCCCGCCATTCTCCTGCCTCAGCCTCCCGAGTAGCTGGGACTATAGGCGCCCACCACTTTGCCCGGCTAGTTTTTTGTATTTTTTTAGTAGAGACCGGGTTTCACCGTGTTAGCCAGGATGGTCTCGATCTCCTGACCTTGTGATCCACCCGTCTTGGCCTCCCAAAGTGCTGGGATTACAGGCTTGAGCCACCGCGCCCGGCCTAATTTTCATATTTTTAGTAGAGACAAGGTTTTGCCATTTTGGCCAGGCTGGTCTCCAACTCCTGACCTCAGGTGATCTGCCCACCTCAGCCTCCCAAAGTGCTGGGATTACAGGTGTGACCCACTGTGTCCAGCCACAACAATATATTTTAAACTGGTAATGTCTTCAGTTACATACAAATTTTTTTTCTCAGTACGTCTGCCTTGAACTTTAGGTTACTGATGTCATTGATCATATCTTTTTATATGAACAGATGTTTATAATTATTTTTATGCTTTTGTTCCTCTGCCACCCGGGTTCAAGCAATTCTTGTGCCTCAGCCTTCCTATAGCTGGGACTACAGGTTTGTTCCCTCACGCCCAGCTAATTTTTTTGTATTTTTAGTAGAGATAGGGTTTCACCATGTTGGCTAGGCTGGTCCTGAACTTCCGACCTCAAGCATTCCTCCCACCTTGGCCTCCCAAAGTGCTGGGATTACAGGCATGAGCCACCACACCCAGCCCCTTTAGTGTTTCTTGAGTGTAGATCTACTGATGACTTTTTCAGCATTTGCTTACCTTATATTCTTGAGCTCCATAATTTCTATTTCTTTTTATACTTTTTATCTTTTGGTTGATCTTCCAAGACAACTGATTTCATTTAGTTTTCTATGTTCTTATTTCACTTATTAATATTATTCACATGGTTATTTTGAGTTTTTAAAAATAATTTATCTCCATTTCTTTAGGGTTGCTATCTGGATATTTCTTTTTCCTTTCTGGGGCCATAAGTATCCTGATATTTTGTATACATTGTAATCTTTTGTTCAGATTTGAAATTAACAAAAAGCCACCTGTTTCAATCTTTATAAAGTGGCATTGTTCTGGGAAATTCTGACACCAATTGATCAGGCTAGAGATTATGGGAGCCTCTCAAACTTGTTCTTGGGATATGTCTTCTCTGGAATGGTGTTTTGATTTGTTTTGTTTGAGACAGAGTCTCTCGCTGTGTCTCCTAGACTGGAGTTCAATGGTGCAATCTCAGCCCACTGCACCGTCTGCTTCCTGGATTCAAGCAATTCTCCTGCCTCAGCCTCCCAAGTAGCTGGGATTATAGGCACGTACCACTATGCCTGACTAATGTTTGTATTTTTAGTAGAGATGGGGTTTCACCGTGTTGACCAGGGCTAGGATTACTGGCGTGAGCCACTGCGCCCGGCTATTTTCTTAATTACAGAGGTTTTCACATGTTTCCTCTTAAGAGGCTGTAATTACTTGTTATGTCTGTTGTCCATCTCTGGTACTGCAGTTTCTTGTCTGCTGTAACAATCATTTATTACTGGTTTCAAAACAACCAACCTGTCGGTCAAAGTATACCATCATTCCATTCAGTACTCTGTCATAGAAGACAGCAACCAGTTTTTTTCAAGCCCCCAAAAGTATGGACACATGTGCCACTATTTTCTTTATTTTATGAGGGAGAAGTCAGCAGTTTACTCCTAAGGGCACCATACATACCATATTGGAAAAAAGGAATGGCTGTGGTGGGTAAATAGAACACACTTTCCTTCCACTTCTATGGGGCTTATGGCATTGTGCTCACCTGGGGTGCTGCAAACTCTTCGTTGATTTTTAGAGTTCTCAGAAAGGCTTTAAAAACATTTTTTTTAAAATTGTATGTATTTATGAGGTACATAAGATATTTTGATACAAGCATGCAACGCGAAATAAGCGTATCAGGGAAAATGGGGTGTCCATTCCCTCAAGCATTTATTTTTTGAGTTACAATCAGATTATACTATTTAAGTTATTTTAAAATGTACAACTGAAATTATTTTTTACTATGGTCACCCTGTTGTGCTATTAAATAGTAGGTCTTACTCATTCTTTTTAAGTAATTTCTTGCACCCATTAACCATCCCCACCTCCCCCAACCACTCACCCAGTACCCTTTCCAGCCTCTGATAACCATTCTTCTACTCTCTATCTCCATGAGTTAATTGTTTTGACTTTTAGATTCCACAAATAAGTGAGAGCATGCAACGTTTGTCTTTCTGTGCCTGGCTTATTTTACTTAACATAGTGACCTTCGGTTCCATCTATTTTGTTGCAAATGACAGGATCTCATCCTTAAGGATGAATAGTACTCCATTGTCTATAAGTAGTACATTTTCTTTCTTTCTTTTTTTTTTTTTTTTTTTTTTGAGACAGAGTCTTGCTCTGTCGCCCAGGCTGGAGTGCAGTGGCGCGATCTCGGCTCACTGCAAGCTCTGCCTCCCGGGTTGACACCATTCTCCTGCCTCAGCCTCCCGAGTAGCTGGGACTACAGGCACCACCACCACACCTGGCTAGTTTTGTTTTTGTATTTTTAGTAGAGACGGGGTTTCACCATGTTAGCCAGGATGGTCTCAATCTCTTGACTTCAGGATCCGCCCGCCTTGGCTTCCCAAAGTGCTGGGATTACAGTTGTGAGCCACTGCGCCTGGCCTATAAGTAGTACATTATCTTTATCCAGTTGCCTGTTGATGGATACTTAGGTTGCTGCCAAAATTTGGCTATTGTGAATAGTGCTGGAACAAACATAGAAGTGCATCTATCTTTGATATACTGGTTTCCTTTCTTTGGCATATACATCTGCAGTGGGATTGCTGGATCATATGGTACCTCTATTTTTAGTGTTTTGAGAAACCTCCAAACTGTTCTTCATAGTGGTAGCACTAATTTAAATCCCCACAGTGTACAGGGTTTCTCACCAGCGTTTGTTATTGCCTGGCTTTTGGATATAAGTTATTTTATCTGGGGTGAGATGATATCTCATTGTAGTTTTGATTTGCATTTCCCTGATGGTCAGTGATGTTGAGAACCTTTTCATATGCCTGTTTGCTATTTGTGTCTTGTTTTGAGAAATGTTTATTCACATATCCTGACCATTTTTTGGCTCAGATTATTAGATTTTTTTTTCCTGTAGAGTTGTTTGAGCTCCTTATAACTTCTGGTTGTTAATCTCTTGTCAAATGAGTAGTTTTCAAGTATTTTCTCCCATTCTCTGGGTTGTCTGTTCACTTTGTTGATTGTATTCTTTGCTGTGCAGAAGCTTTTTAACTTGATATGTTCCCATTTGTCCTTTTTTTTTTTTTTTTGGTTGTCTGTGTTTGTGGGGTATTGCTCAATAAATTTTTGCTTAGACTAATGTCTTCGAGGTTTTTCTCAATTTTAACTTTTAAAAAAACTAATTTTTTGTTTCATTGATCTTTTGAATTTTTCAAAAAATTTTAATTTCATTTATTTCTGCTCTGAGCTTCATTATTTTTCTTCCACTAATTTTGGGTTTTGTTCGCTCTTGCTTTTCTAGTTCTGTACGATGCATTGTTGGATTGTTTAGTTGAAGTTTTCCCTTTTTTTTCATGTAGGCAGTTATAGCTATAAACGTCCCTGTTTGTACTGCTTTTGCTGTATCCCATAGGTTTTGGTGTATTTTGTTTCTGTTATCATTTGTCTCAAGAAATTTTAAATTTCCTCCTGAATTTCTTTTAACTCACGGGTCATTCAGGAGCATATTGTTTAATTTCCGTGTATTTGTATAGTTTTCAAAATTCCTCTTTTCATTCTAGTTTTATTCCATTGTGGTCAGAGAAAATGCTTGGTATTATTTCCATTTTTGGAATGTTTTAAGACTTGTTTTGTGACCTCACATATGGTCTCTCCTTGAGAATGATCCATGTGCTGAGGAAAATAATGTGTATTGTGCAGCTGTTGTATGAAATGTTCTGTAATTATCTATTAGATCAATTTGGCATATAGTGCAGATAAGCGCTATGTTTCTTCATTGATTTTCTGTCTAGTAGGTTTGTCTGGTGCTGCAAGTGAGGTCATGAGCCGCCGTGCCCAGCCTTCGTTTAATGTTTTCACTTTGGACCAAAGTAGTTTACACACCAGAGTTATAGGGTTATTTTGTGTTTTTGTGTGTTGTTACTATTACCAGTTAATTTTGTAACTTCAGATGATGTTATTATTAATTAATGTTCTTTTCTGATTGAAGTACTCCTTTTAGCATTTCTTGTAGGACAGGTCTGGTATTGATGAAATACCTCAGCTTTTGTTTGGCCATCTTTATTTCTCTTTATGTTTGAAGGATATTTTTGCTGGATATAATATCATAGGGTAAAGGTTTTTTTCTTTCAGCACTTTAAGTATGTCATGCCACTCTCTCTTGGCCTGTAAGGTTTCCAGTGAAAAGTCTGCGATGAGGCATATTGGAGCTTCATTGTATGTTATTTCTTTTTTTTCCCCCTTCGGCTGCTTTTAGGGTTCACATAATGGCATTTTGTTTAGTATATTTTTGTTAGGATTATGACTATGAAGGAATAAGGGCCTGTAGTATTTCATTATGCTATCTTGCTAATGTGCTTGTATAATTTTATGCCTTAGATTTGTAAAGTATGTTATCTAGTAAGTGGAATAATTTGTTGTTTTTATTTTTTCCAGCTTTGTCTTCTTATCTTACTGAAGACATTTTGCCAGAGCAGGGTCTGCAAATTTCATTCCAAAAAGTGATGCTGAGAAGATATGAAAGGTGTTGTCTTGAGAAATTACGCTTAAGGAATGACTGGGAAATTGTGGGTGAGTGGAAAGGGCAGAAGGCAAGTTATAATGGACTTGACTTATGCTCAGCAACTACTCATAACAAAAACTTTCAATGCAATAAATGTGTGAAAGGTTTTAGTAAATTTGCAAGTCTAAATAAACATAAGATAAGCCATACTGGAGAAAAACCATTCAAATGCAAAGAATGTGGCAATGTCTCTTGCATGTCTTTAATAACAACTCAACAGCAGAGAATCCATATTGGAGAGAACCCCTACCAACGTAAAAAAGGTAGCAAAGCCTTTAATGAGCGCTCATACTTTACTGACTATAAGAGAATTCATGTTGGAGAGCAACATTGCAGATGTGAAGAATGTAATAACGTCTTTAAGTCTTGCTCAAGTCTTGCTATTATTGAGAAAATTCATACTGAAAAGAAAACCTACAAATGTGAAGAATGTGGCAAAGCTTTTAACCTGTGCTCAATTCTTACTAAACATAAGAAAATTCATACTGGAGAGAAACCATACAAATGTGAAGAATGTGGCAAATCCTTTAAGTTGTTCCCATACCTTACTCAACACAAGAGAATTCATAGTGGAGAGAAACCCTACAAGTGTGAAGAATGTGGCAAAGTCTTTAAATTGTTGTCATACCTTACTCAACATAAAAGAATTCATACTGGAGAGAAAACCTTCCAATGTGAAGAATGTGGAAAAGCCTTTAACCAGAGCTCACATCTGACTGAACATAGGAGAATTCATACTGGTGAGAAACCATACAAATGTCAGGAATGTGGCAAAGCTTTTACTTGGTTCTCATACCTTATTCAGCATAAGAGAATTCATACTGGGCAGAAACCCTACATATGTGAGGAATGTGGCAAAGCTTTTACCTGGTTCTCCTACCTTAATCAACATAAGAGAATTCATACTGGAGAGAAACCCTACAAATGTGATGAATGCGGCAAAGCTTTTAACTGGTTTTCATATCTTACTAATCATAAGAGAATTCATACTGGAGAGAAACCCTACAAATGTGAAGAATGTGGCAAAGCCTTTGGCCAGAGCTCACACCTTTCTAAACATAAGACAATTCATACCAGAGAGAAACCATACAAGTGTGAGGAATGTGGCACAGCCTTTAACCACTCTGCACAACTTGCCATACATGAGAAAATTCACACCTGAGAAAAATCCTACAAATCTAAACAATATGGCATAGTCTTTAATACCTATTCACAACTTCACAGCAGAGTATTTTTACTGAGTAAGAGTGTTACAAATGTAATGATTGTCAAAAGTCCATTTACAAACTGTAAGCCTTTGAGTGCACTAAAACGTTTAGGCTAGGAACAATACAAATAGAAAAACCGGTTCAACACCTCCACTGATATCACAGCTCTTATTGTACACAGAGGAATTTATACTGTAGGGAAACCTTCCAGTTGCTCAAACTTTATTCAACTTCAAAGACTTTGTATTGGAGAGAAACCCTACAATCGTAATAAATGCAGAAACAGCATTTGTTCAAAAAATATACCTTAGAAAACACCAGAGTGTTCACACTAATAACTACTTGACAGATGCAGTAAATGTGAAAAAAATAACTAATCAAAAATTACATCAAAACTCGTCCAAGAATTGGCCAGGCGCGGTGGCTCAAGCCTGTAATCCCAGCACTTTGGGAGGCCGAGACGGGCGGATCACGAGGTCAGGAGATCGAGACCATCCTGGCTAACACGGTGAAACCCCGTCTCTACTAAAAAATACAAAAAACTAGCCGGGCGAGGTGGCGGGCGCCTGTAGTCCCAGCTACTCGGGAGGCTGAGGCAGGAGAATGGCGGGAACCCGGGAGGCGGAGCTTGCAGTGAGCTGAGATCCGGCCACAGCACTCCAGCCTGGGCGACAGAGCGAGACTCCTTCTCAAAAAAAAAAAAAAAAAAAAAAAAACACATCCAAGAATTCACAGTAAAAAGCACTAAGTCACTAACACTTTCAGATATTACTGTAAATCTGAGTGTTTATTATAGAGAATAATCCAAAGTAAAGTTAAAATAAGTAGGAGATTTACCTTTTGAGGAAGTTCTAATTACATTTAAAGTATACCTTTTGGTGCCAGGCATGGTGGCTCTTTCCTATAATTGCTGCACTTTTGGATGCCGAGGTGGGGGGATTGCTTGAGCCCAGGAGTTTGGGACCAGCCTGGGCAACATGGCAAAACCTCATCTCTACAAAAAGTAAAATAAAAGCCAGGCTTGGTGGGACATGCCTGTTGTCCCAGCTACTTCGAAGGCTCAGGTGGGAGGATTGCTTGAGCCCGGAGGTTGAGGATGCAGTGAGCTGATATCTTGCAACTTCACTCCCACCTGGGCAACAGAGCAAGACCCTGTCTCAATAATAATAATAACATAATAATAGTAAAGTATACTCTGTGCATTGAAAGAGTTTTAGATTTTTTGAAAAGCACATATTTATGTAATTCAAGTTTGAAATCACTTGATACCATGCCTTCATTTCTAGTGTCTATGTGAAGGCATGTGGCCTATTGTTGCTACATGAAAGCCGTGAGAGTTTCTTCTATATTTGGGCAGGCATCATTCATCTCCTTTTCTTTGGAAGATTATGGACATTGCATTTTAAGCTTCCTGAAGAAATGTAACCGGAGAGGCTCTTTGTAGTTGTAAGTGATTCATGAGATAGGTCTTCAGAGTAATATTCTCATTATATTTAAGAAAGAAACATTTAAGTTGTCTTTAGGCCATTGTTTATTAAGTGATGTGTATCCTGCCACCAGCGTTGACCTATCTCACCTTAGTGTTATGGTTGTGGGTGACTAAAGGTAACAATACAATAGTGGGTGACATGGTGGAGTAGTATCTCTAATGATCCCTTCTCGCAGTGGCATTAAACTTCAAATAATTTGAAAAATATTGTTCCCACAAGTTACACTTTCATTCTGTTTGCTCTTTTTGTAATGACAGTGTCATTATTAGGGCTATAATAAAGCCTATATAGGATTATAATCAAAGACCATATATTTCTGAATCTTAAAGGACTATTAACAAAGTTTTATCTTACATTTTTCTTTTAACATGTGACCTCTCTGGCTTGCAAAACATATACATACTTTTAGTTTTGGTTTATATGGAGATAAATATATAAATATATTACTCTGAAGATAATTGTTAGGTGTAAGAAATTATGAAGCAAGTAATATGTTTGAAGTAAGTACATACCTGTTTTCAGAATAAAAGAAAAATGTTGGAACCAAACATAATTTTAAAAGTATGGATAATTTATTAGCAAACTAGAAACCTCAAAAATGTTGAAGGCAGATCTGTTTTCAATGCTTTGTATTGAATGCATTTCTCTAAAATCTTATTGCACTTTTTTCAGAATTTCTCTGTGAAAATCCTGTTTTTACTTTTATGTTGCTTGTGCTAGAGATAACATATAATCTTCTTGTTCCAAAATTCATGAAGAATTTCTTACGTGATCTTCTCAGGGATTATAATAATGATTTTATGAAACTTATTGGTGCTTCCAAAATAATCTTAAGATGTGAGTAATTCCACAGTGAGTGTATTTTCATTGTACTTAATTAATACATTTCCATTTTTCCATTATTAGAGAACACTATTCAAGCCAACTTTTTTTTGTTTGTTTCTTCCACTTTTCTGAATTGCAGTAATTAAGTTTATTGACTCTATTGGGCAATTTGTTCAGGTAAACACTTTGGAGGCTTTATAAGTTATAGGCTTATTTTGACATAAAAATGAAGTGAAGAAACATAGGGAGTGCTAAATATGTAATAGATGCTCCATAATTAGCAATAAATATTCCTGTTGGAGTGAATTTGTAGCTCCAGATAAGAGATTGGAAATATCCAGGATGAAGACCTGGCATTGATTCTGCATGCAGAGAAGGGACTTCTGTACCCAGGCTGCACAGTTGACTCTCTCTAAAGAGGAGGTCTGCTTTTATTTCCAAATTATCTTTTTTTTTGTGGTCTCTTTTTCTTTGTTCCCAACTACTTACGTATTCTAGCTCTCTTCCTTTTTTTTTTTTTTTCCCTTAAAAACCTGTGTTATGGCTACACTTTCTCACTGTTCTCCACACAATATGTCGTTTTATATAGTACTTTGTACCTTCTAACAGGAAGTTTAGATTTCTCTTTTTCTTCTTTTGTTTTTTGGGTTTTTTAAATTTTGTTTTGTTTTGTTTTTTTTGGAGACATGGTCTCACTGTGTCACCCAGGCTGGTATGCCGTGGTGTAATCTCGGCTTACTGCAACCTCTGCCTCCCAGACTCAAGCAATCATCTCACCTCAGCCCCCTGAGTAGCTGGGACTACAAGTGTACACCCCCACACTTGGCTAATTTTTTTTTTAGTAGAGATGAGGTTTTACCATGTTACCCACGCTTGTCTTGAACTCCTAAGCTCAAGTGACTGACTTGCCTTGGCTTCCTAAAGTGCTGGGATTACAGGTATGAGCCACACCTGGCCTGGAAATTTGAAATTTTTTAATGTGATGATAGATTTTTGTTGGTTTGTTTTTTTGAGACTGAGTCTCACCCTGTCGCCCAGGCTGGAGTACAGTGGTGTGATCTTGGCTCTGCAACCTCCGCCTACTGGGTTCAAGCAAGTCTCCTGCCTCCGTCTGCCAAGTAGCTGGGATTACAGGCACGTGCCACCATGCCTGGCTAATTTTTGTATTTTTAGTAGAGATGGGGCTTCTGCATGGTGGCCACGCTGGTCTTGAACTCCTGACCTCAGGTGATCCACCTGCCTTGGCCTCTCAAAGTGCTGGGATTATAGGCATGAGCCACTGTGGCCAGCCAATAGATTGATTTTTAACTGGAGAGTTTGAGGTCATTTATGTGTTACAAAACTGACATTGTGACCATAGCTTACTGCAGTCTCAACCTCCCAGGCTCAAGTTATCCTCTCACCTTAGTTCCCTGGGTAGCTAGGAGTACAGCCACATGCCACCACGCCCAGCTAAATTTTTTATTGTTTTGTAGAAATGAAGTCTCACTGTATTTTCCAGGCTGGTCTCAAGCTCCTGCACTCAAGCAACCCCCTACCTCAGCCTTCCCAAGTGCTGGGGTGACAGGCTGAGCTGCCGCGCCCGGCCACACACAACTCTTTTTTTTTTTTTTTTTTAAGACGGAGTCTCGCTCTGTCGCCCAGGCTGGAGTGCGGTGGCACGATCTTGGCTCACTGCAAGCTCCGCCTCCCGGGTTCACGCCATTCTCCTGCCTCAGCCTCCCGAGTAGCTGGGACTACAGGTGCCCGCCACCACGCCCGGCTAATTTTTGTATTTTTAGTAGAGACGGGGTTTCACTGTGTTAGCCAGAATGGTCTCGATCTCCTGACCTTGTGATCCGCGCGTCTCAGCCTCCCAAAGTGCTGGGATGACAGGCCTGAGCCACCGCGCCCGGCCAAGCAACACTCTTAATGGAGGAGAGGGATGCACTATCCATGGGCCAGAGAATTAAATCGGGCAGTTAGCATTGTTTGTTTGTTAAAAGAAAATATTTGAAAATCCTGACACAAAGTGTGGTGAATGTATAATTAATTAGAATAGGCCAAGCTTTAATAACATTGAACTATGTATTGTAAGCGCTATGTAAATAAACATGTCAGAATTTGGAAATCTCTGAAGAGCAAATGTATCTTAGAAATTCTTAAGGAGAGTTAATGATAAATGGATAATTTTGAATTTAATTTTCCATGAAACACTTATAGCACACGTTATGTTTCCATGCAGAACCTATTTTTAAATGTGTACGTTATGTTGAGCAATAATAGAATGACCTCTGTGGATTTAAAATTTGAAATAATCTTTTTTTTTTTTTTTGAGATGAAGTTTCACCCTTATTGCCCAGGCTGTAGTGCAATGGCACAATCTTGGCTCACCACAACCTCTGCCTCCCGGGTTCAAGTGATTTTTCTGCCTCAGCCTCTCAAGTAACTGGAAGTAGAGGCATGTGCCACCACGCCCAGCTAATTTTGTATTTTTAGTAGAGTCAGGGTTTCTCCATGTTGGTCAGGCTGGTCCCAAACTCCCAACCTCAAGTGATCCACCCACCTCAGCCTCTCAAAGTGCTGAAATTACAGGCATGAGCCACTGCGCCTGGCCCGAAATAATCTTTCTTTTAGATTTATTTTTGCAATCTTGGGAAATTTTTTAATTTCTTCCTATATTTCACTGGGTGCAGTTCACAGTCCATAGTCTTCATTCTTAATCACCTAACTAGCCAACTGCTTGGTCATTCACTCTAAAGACATCTCAGAGATCATGGTAGCTTTTGGATTAAAACATTTCCTCGGCCGGGCGTGGTGGCTCATGCCTGTAATCCCAGCACTTTGGGAGGCCAAGAGCGGGCAGATCACCTGAGGTCAGGAGTTCAAGACCAGCCTGGCCAACATGGTGAAAGCCCGTCTCTACTAAAAATATAAAAACTAGCCGGGCGTGGTGGTAGACGCCTGTAATTCCAGCTACTAGGGAGGCTGAGGCAGGAGAATTGCTTGAACCCAGGAGACGTAGGTTGCAGTGAGCCAACACAGTGCCACTGCACTCCAGCCTCGCTGACAGAGTGAGACTCTTGTCTCAACAAAACAAAAAACAAAACAAAAAACAAACCAACATTTCCTCAGTGATTTTGGGTGCTAAATTCTTTTCTATGTTTCTACAGTAGCCAAA